TTAATAAAGTACAGTATATATAATTAGTCTAACAGAAAATTAAATATATTCTGTATATATATACAGTATATTCAAAAAATATTTTTTAAAAACTTTTTGTTAATCTATGAATCAATAATATAGTGGTAGTACTTCCAGGTTACAATCACAAGATCTATAGTTCAATATCACTTAAGAACCAAAATCAAAAATTATTTTTCTAATTAGGTTTACCAGTTACTTTGTGAAAGTTATCTAAAACAAGTTTTTATTAGGTTAGGCTACATAAAGATAGAATTTCTGGGCTTTCATATATCAAGAGCTGAGATCTATAATTGTATTATCAGAAGGATTGCATAAAGAAAGATTTTTGGTTTAATTCACCATAAATATTCAAAGACCTCTTGCCTTGATAATTTCTAGGACCCCATCCTTCTAACTCAGGATATCTCAATATCTTACTTCATCTAAATGAAAATTAGTCAAAAATGGGATTGATCCAATGTCACAGGTGATAATAAAGAAAGTAAAGTATCACTTTTCAAGATCTAAGCAAATAATATCTGGGAGTATTGGAAAGTAAACTAAATTCTGTTGGGTACATATTATATAGTCTAGTTTAGTGAATATAATATAAAAATTTATAAAAGCTCACTATTAAATTAGTCTATTTTGTTATTGATAACTGCATATTTGACTGTTTGGTCCCTAGTTGGATCTGTTCCACTTATAGAGTAGTAGTTGATTCACATATAATAAATTATGATAGGTTATTATTAATCTATATACATATAAAAATATATAGTTTATATGAGATGATTGATATTATGCCAAGGATTTTATTATCCAAGATGTTAAGTTAATTTTTAATAAAAGTGCTCACATCTAATACCAGTTGCAGTTTAAAAAAAAAACTTCTTGTTAATATTTTTATACTATTTTTCAATTTTATTCTTTTTACTTATAATATACTCTTTATTTTTATTTCTAAATTTTTATTTATTTATTTTTTTTATTATTACTTTTAAATTATTATATCTTTGTTTTAAGACTTTTATAATAAGTTATTTAACTTTTTTATTTTAGTATTATAGCATATAAGTTTGAGATCATCTATTGTACCTTGAATATTTTTTTTTAAGAAAGCCCAAGAAATATTAATAATTTATTATAAGAATTACACGTTACTCAAATTTTATGCAGTAAGCCGCATTGTCGATCAAATTTCCTTGTTTATCGGATGATCCGTCGTCGATCCCTCTTTTAAATTCATGCGAATCGTACATAGTTCGACTTGAGAAAACAAATGTCGGAACAAATTGGCCCACAAATCCCTGCTCATTTGCTTTCAAAATTCCAACCAAAGGATAGCGACGAAGAAGATAGTGATGATGCAGGACCTCATTCATATCCCGATTCCCAGTTAGACTTCAATGAAAAAACAGAGAGTGCACAATTTGATCCATCATCACCTCAGGTATCTTCAAATTTAGAGAAAGGTGGAAATTGGGATGATGACGAGGATGATTTGGATGCTTACATGCCAGAATTACCACCTGACATACTTGCAGAACGGCAGAGAAAAAAAATCGAGCAGGAAAAGAGTTTGGGTAAAAGTGGCACCGAAAAACGGAGAATAGGGCCTGCAATGCCACCATCCATTGAATATGATGAATATCAAATATCCGAGGAAGAGGATGATGTTGTAGGGCCGGTATTACCCAAAGACTTTAAGGAGAAGAACGAGGCGTATGTTTTTCAAAGTGCAATACAAGAATTTGAGGAAAGGTCGGACAAAATGCGTCAAAAACTTGAGGTACGTTTCGTCAGAATCGTTAATTTGATGGAGTCATTGTTTGATTAACAAACATAACTTTGCTAGTCCGGGGAAGACGGCGAAAGACGGTTGGAGCGCGGAGAATGGATGCTTGTTCCGCCACCAGAAGCGAGATTTTTAGGTCAGCTTCGTTTCATTTAAAAAATTGACCAAGTATGTTGCTAATTTTATTTTCCCGAATTAAATTTTCAGAATCACCAAACAATATGCGATCACGCCAATTCAAACAAAAATCACATGATCCAAAGTTGGAAGATAGCTCTTTGTGGACGGAATCACCTGCTGAAAGAGAAAAAAGAATAACACAAAAGGCATGTACTCTCTAAATCAGGTTGCATATTATCATTGGAGAAATATGGACATTTATCAGATAATCGAATGATTTTAGAATAAACCTAATCAGAAACGTAAACACGAAGAGGAGGAAATTAAATATACTGAAGTCGATCTAGAGAACATTAGGAGGATTAAGGAATATAATGTACATCCAAAATGAAATCTATTTCTTTACTGTCATTATTCAACAATATTTAATTTATTAATGACCACTTCTCTTTTTTTAGGAATCGTTTCGTCCGAAAACACTCTTAGAAGAACACTCTGAAAAATATGTAAAGTCTAAAAAATGGAAACAGGATAGTGTCAGCGATAGACCATTTGATCGTGAAAAAGATGTATTAGGTGCGCGTCGCATGGATTCTCGTAAGAGACAAGAGATTTTAGATAACGCCAAGGAATTATCCTCAAAATTCGGGCATGGAAAAAGTGGAACATTCTTGTGATCATGAATCTATTTTCTTTTATCCATAAAATTTGATTATTAAAAATTCATTCCCCCAAACTTTGAATTAATTTTATGTTTTTATCTAAATTCTTCTTTTGCTCAATCAAATTTTCTAACCGTTTTCTGAGAGAGAATATTAAAATAGAAGGTGAACCGGTGTATTCGAATTGAACTATTTTAAAATAAATCGGTTAAGCAATTCACAGACCTATCCATATCCTTAATCTTGTCTGGAACCTTTTCTAGATAAGCGATGCTGCCAATCCTCTCGCTCAAATTATCCAAGTCTTTGGTGGTTTTTTCAAATTTTTTCGTTAATTCCTGCAGTTGTTCGGATCTAGAAAGCGCTCTCTTAGATTGAATCCCTTGAATTGCGCTCATGGGGATGCCGACCTTTAAATTCGGAGTCACCAAACCTACTGCTGAATCTACTAGTAATTTAGATATTTTTTCATCCTTTTAAAAAAAAAAAAAAAAAAAAAATTATAATAAATCCGCGCAATGGAATTTGCAAAATTCAAATGTTTATATTGTAGCTTACGTGTGATTCGTCAGGAGAAATTACGCGAATTTCTGACGATTTAATGAATTTCTTTATGTCGGCGACATATTTCACGATGGGACTTTGACCATTCAATAATATTGGATCATCTGCCCATAATATGAAAGGCAAATGAACTCCTTGAGGTATGTTGATTTTCTGACGGAGTGACCGCGAAGCATGGATCACACTTAGAACGATCTTTGAAAAATCGAATATTAAATATTAGATTGAAGGGGCTGGAGATTGAGATATAAGATAGGAACTGCCTTTTATTGCACCTTCATATCATCCTCAACTTTATCATCCCTGAATCCTTCAAAGTCCTCTTTCCTCGGATACTTGGAAATCATAATTGATTCCGGAGTTTCCAGGTTCATCTCATTTTGGGATCTCCTGATGAGAATTTGCCACAATTCCTGAAATTGAAGCGTTTTTTTTTTTTTAGTTCTTCACGGAGATAGTAACACGAAAGATATTGATTTTAGCAGAGATTACCTCAGTAATGAACGGCATAAAAGGATGCAAGAGTCTCAAAGAGGAATCCAAACATAACTCTAAAACCTTCAGGGTAATTCTTTGAGTCTATGGAAGTCGCGCATAAAAAATGGGCACAGAGTCTATAATTTTCTACGGAAGTAAAAAAGCAACATCTCGCAAAGGTTGTATAATAAATGCATACCTCAACATCGGTATCCGGATTCCCATACAAAACGGGTTTTATGAATTCTAAATAGGTTCCGCACAAGTCTTCAATAATAAAGCTTCGAATCGCTTCTGTCACCTCGTACAATTCCAAATTTTCAAACCCCCTTTGACATTTAGTTACCGTAGCAGATAATCTTGATAATACATATCTGTCAACCAATGTCAAATTACAAAGATATGAGGATAAAGATTTGGTAGGATTAATTAAATCGCCGGAGACATGTGTGGAATGATTTAAAGCATCGAATCGATCGTTTGAGAATTTGAAGAGATTCCATATTTTATTGCAAAAATGTTGCACCGTCGTTATGTATGAGACATCTAGATTTATTTGACGCGTCTATCAGGAAATCGTTTTCAGTTACTAATACAAACTTCGTGAAAAACATTCACAGAGATCTACACAAACGTAGGGAATCATTGTTTGTTAATACCTGATGAGTATAATTGACCAACCCAAATCTCAAGGCATCGGTGCCACATGGTTTAATTCCTTGCGGAAATTCTTGAGACAAGTTCTTAAGACTTTTTTCTATTTCCGATTTTGATAGATTGCTTTTATAGATATTCTGCTGCAATTCTTCCAACGTTATTCCATCAATTACATGCAGAGGATCAATCACATTCCCTAGAGATTTTGACATCTTTCTTCCTTGTGCATCTCTGATCTGTTTACAAAGAATACGTACAAAAAACAAGGGGTTAATGACTTGTGCTCTTATAAGTTAATTGTAACAGTTTCAAGTGGCATACCATTGCGTGCAATAAAATTTTTCCAAAAGGCGGCTTCCCCGAAAAATAAGTGCACAACATGCTCATCCGGGCAACCCAGAAAAATATAATATCAAACCCTGTTTCTATCATATTGGTTGGATAATTTGCCTTCATAAGGTGAAGCAACAAGACTGATTAGTAACCTAATTGATCATATTAAACAATTTATAGCTATATTTTTTTCCTACAGGAATATTATGGACCCCATCCCAATTAAGGGAAGATAGTGGTAATAAGGCTGATGAAAACCAAGTATCAAGTACATCTTCATCCTGCATGGAAAGTTTATTGAAAATAAAGTAAGATAAGAGAGTATCAAATCATAAGCTTACAAAATATATTAATATACTCGTTTTAGTGTGTAGTTGGGTATTGGTGATATATTGAGCTGGCGAAAATAATCGCTTGCAAGTTCCTCTGCTTTAGACATGGAATCAGCAGCGAACCACACTTCTTCAACTATAATATTAAATATAATGGAAATAAGATTATGCAAAGACAAGTATAATATATACTTATATACTTACTAGCCTCCTGACCTTCGTAGGTTAAACTATATGCTGGAACCTGGTGTCCCCACCATAATTGTCTCGAAATACACCAATCCTGAACATTTCCTGAAAATAAAATGCATGAAATACAAGATTAAATATAATCCCCATCCCATATAGACATCTAAATACACTAACCCAACCATCTATTCCACTCATCAACATGATAACTTGGTTTTATCAAGATTTCCCCATTCTCGACATCCTCAAGAGCTCTGAGTTGCATATCACGACATCTTATATACCTAGAATTAAAGTGATTTTTAGTAAGGCAAAATCTCCTTCCGAAATAACATTTAGGTCGACATACCATTGAGGTTGCAGCAAAGGTTCAACAATATCCCCGGATCTTGAACACCTGGCAATCCTCATTTCATTATCTATCGTTTTTCCTCGATAATGGCCTAATTCTTGGAGTCGAAAGATTATATCCTTACGAACTTCAAACCTGTCTCGATTCTGTGACGTCAATTACGGCAATAGAAATATGTTAATGTCAAAGCGACTCAAAATGTCAAGAAAAAATATCATTGTACTAGTGATGCTACCATCAAATTCGAAATTCCACAATTCTCATTTAATGTTCCATCTTTATTAAAAATGTTCACTATCGGTAATTGATGCCTTTTTGCACATGCGTGATCATTGAAGTCATGTCCCGGCGTTACCTGCGACATATCAATATTAGATTTAACGCTTTTTTTTGTCACATATTCCGCTATTATCTCGATACCTTGACAACTCCTGTTCCAAATTCCATATCCACGAGTTCAGAATCACATATTATTGGCAATTTGGTGTTCAATAAAGGATGAAAGACTTTTCCCCCGTGCAGTGACTACAAAAAAAAAGGAGATTTACTGATGGTTTATAAAAGCAATTCTGCACAGGAACAAATTAAATATACATACCCTATATCGTGGATCATCAGGATGCACCGCCAACGCAACATCTCCCAACATTGTTTCAATTCTAGTCGTCGCCACAACCAATTCTTTTATCTCCCCAGATGGTTCCGCAATAGGGTACGCAAATTTGTGCAAAACTCCACATTCCACTCTAATCAATTTGATTTGAGAAAGAAGAAAGGAAAAATTTCAAAGTCTCACAGAAGAAACCGTGGCTGCTTACTTCTCCACGCGACCAGGAATGCTCAAAAAAGTCTGTCTCGAAACTGTTTCGTGATCTACCTTTGCGTGAGTGCATTATATGATGATGACACCTCACTTATCTTCCGAATAAATTCGAAACCAAAAATGGCATGTTACGATATATTGCTTACTTCGATATCTGAAATCACGGTTCCCAAAGCACAACACCAGTTCACAAGTCTCGTGTCTCGATAAATCACTCCGTCATTAAACAGTTTGACAAATGCGTTTGTAACGGCCTTTGATCTCTGAGCATCCATGGTGAAAAATAGTTTTTCCCAATCCAAGGAAGCACCTAAACGTCTCTTGTTTTAAAATTATTAAGTCAATTTCCAAAGCATTTAAAGAAATACGGTAGACACTAATTAAGGAAGTAATTAGGGAAGTAACTGGGGAAAATAAACATCCGAAAGTTAGTCTACCATTTGCTGGATTATTCGATCACCGTGTATTTCACGCCATTGCCAGACTTGCTTTATAAAATTTTCTCGGCCAAGGTCGTGACGTGTAAGCTATTTTTCAAGAAAATGGAATGCCATTAGCACTTTTTTAATAAATTGACAATGTTGTGTAAACCGAAGTTCTTACTGATTTTTCTTTCCAAAGATGTCTTTCCACCACAGATTGAGTTCCGATACCTGCATGGTCCGTACCAGGAATCCAAGACACTCTATATCCCCTCATTCGATACCATCTTGCCAACGAATCCTAATTCGAGCAACATCATTTTCAGTTTTCCCTAAGGATTCCGAAAAAGAAAGAAAAAAAATCAAAAAAAAATTTAAATACCTGTATGCTAAAAGTTAATGCATGGCCGATATGTAGATTTCCGGTGACGTTCGGAGGAGGAGATAGCATTGTAAAAATTTTGGTAGAGTCCTCATCTGCTCCTCCCACTCCACCGGGTCTGAAATAACCTTTCAAAAAAAAAAAAAAAAAGAGGGATTCGTATGGATTAGAGGGAAATCGATCTTGAATGGACCATTGAAGGGCACATATTTCACCTTTATACTCCCACCAATCATACCATCCATCTTCAACAATAGTCTAATGAAAAAACAAAAAGTCAATTTTATCATAAATTGCAATTATCGATATGACAAGATGGAGTCTCACCGGGTCATACCGTCCAGCCAATATTCTATTTGGCTTTAAAGTTACTTTATCGGTAACTTGATTTTTCACTTTCGAATTTGAAAATCTCATCGATTCAGTAATTCGTTTTCTCGATGCTGTGCGACCATATACACCTAGGGATTTCTTATTTGTTATTCTTGGATGGCTCAGCTTTGACCACCGCGAGTCTCCGGTCAACCTTCGAGAATGGGCAAGTAACCTTGAACGAATCAGAGCGGTAAACCGCTTATAGCTTATATAATCAAATCTTGCTAAATTATATTGTCCGCTTAAGCTAACAATCACCATATTGATAAAGATTTGAGGGAACGAAAGAAAAAAAAAAATTTTTTTTTTAATGATCATCTGAATTTGCATGCGAAATTTATAAAACTGAAATTACCGGTTAAAGAAAAAAATCGGGTCATACAGAGTATCATCTTCGCGAAAATATCAAACTCCACCATGCAACTTATGTTGATAAGAGACAATTTCTCTGGGTAGCATTAACATCACAAGAGGGTTGAAAATAAATAATAGCCACTTATTCTTACATGAATACATCCATGTTCGTTTTCTCTTTCAAATCTTTTTATGTATATACAGTATCTTACTGGACAGCTATGCTCTTGTTAAATCTATTACTTATGGCTATAGTATTTCGACCACAAGTGCGCGCCTATCCTGTAACAAAGAAATGTTGTTTACTCATTCACAATAAATATTTTAAAAAATGCATACATACGTATGTATATTTAAAAGCTTAATTTAATGTTACAGTATATACACTACGTATATTCATGTAGTGTCATAAATGCCGTGACTTACCAATAAGTCTAGAGAAAATAAGTATTCTCATTCAATCAAAATCTGTTCCATGATCATTCTTCCGGCTAATGGGATCTTTTCCAATCAAAATGATGATCAATTCGATCCTTGAAAAAAAAAAATGACTTTTTCTCGGGAGCATAGAATCCGTGCTTACAACACCCACAACCACTTGGAGGAACGCCCTTGTGTGCGCAACCCTTCTTTCTCCCTTTGGAGAAGTCGGTTGCTAAACCCAATGCCGACACCCATAACTCCAACTTCCCTACGTGACCATCAATGTTATAGAATATGGAAACTCTCGGTTGAATCGGAAAAATAATTAAACGGGAGAAGTATGAGGATAACTTTCTCGTTTTAAGAATAATATTCTGTCTAAAATGTCCCAAACATTAATATATTTTTAAATATGTGCTATACGCATAATTTATTTTTTATGGAGGATGCTTGACAGGATTTATTCAATGATATATTTCGGGTATGTTTTCGAAGTAGCCAACTTTAATATAATAAGAATGACAGAATGCTACACTTTTGAAGACATGTTTTCGGTATATTTTCTGGTAGGTTAAAATGTAGTAATCTTCGGTAATATTACATATAAAAGACAGAATAACGCTACACTTTTCATGGTAGGTATTCGGGTATGTAATCATGATAGCTAACTTCGAAATATAAGAAAAATGAAGATGGTTGCCCATTTGACAATATGTTTGAGTATGTTTTCTAATATACATCTGAAGTACAAATAGTTATCGAATTTGAAATTGATCAGAAACAATAAGCTGATATACAGTACAAAATTTTATAAATGATAAAACATTATAGATATCGAAGTTGACTTTGAAAGTGTATACAAGTCGCCTACCTATCAAAGTAGTAAAATTGTGTGTCGTAAAAAGCACATTAGCGTGTGGCCTAAAAAAGCAAAATACGCCTCCTTGTTGTGTAATTGTTGAGATTGCGCCTAAAAATTGGATTGTATCTAAGCAAAAAAATAAATATATACAGTATGATTAGTGAAAATAAAGAAAAATAAATATCAAACAACAATTATAACTTACTATTTTGTATTAGGTCAATTCTTTTTTATTTGGGTTCATATTTTTGTGCTTCAAAAAATTTCCGTAAATAATCTCTCCCTAAGGATAATATGCATTAATATTAACCTATAGATCGAACGTATATTGTATAAAAATTAGAGTTACTATTTTTACCAAAATACTTCATTTAGATACGTAAACGAGGGAGATTTTTAATAGTATGCCCATTTTGAAGTTTTCGTTAAACGGAATTCATTTGTTAATGTTAATAATTAACTTTCATCAAAAACTAATATTTGTAATTTTTACTAAGATCTCTAATGATATCGGTTTTTAATAGAAGTCGTAATAATAAAAAGAATAAAAAAGAAGAAAACGGAGTAAGGAATTAAAAAAAAAGAAAAGTGAAGAAAGAAAACGAGAAACAAACGAAGAAAGAAAGGAAACGAAAAAAAGTGAAGAAATAAAGGGAGAAAGAAAAGAAAAAAATGAAGAAAGAAAAAGAAAACAAGAAACAAAAGAAAGAAAGAAAACGAGTAAAAGAAGAAAAGTGAAGAAAGAAAAAGAAAACGAAAAGAAAGCAAGAAATAAACGAAGAGAGAAAGAAAAAGAAAAAGTGAAAAAAGAAAAAGAAAAAGAAAACGAAAAACAAACGAAGAAAGAAAGAAAAACGAGTAAGCGAAGAAAAGTGAAGAAAGAAGAAGAAGAAGAAACGAGAAATAATCGAAGAAAGAAAACGAGTAAACGAAGAAAAGTGAATAATCGAAGAACGAAAGAAAACGAAAAAAGTGAAGAAAGAAAAAAAGAGAATGAAGAAATGAAGAAAGAAAGGAAGAAGAAAACAAATATAGGAAGAAACGAAGAAAAGAAAAAAACGAAGAAAAAGACAAAAAGGACTACGAGGCGAGGTAATATAATAAGGATGTAAAGAGAGGACAGAGGGTGAGAGATTATAAAATATTAAAAGAAATGTTGTTGATCACTTATAAGAATTTCAATGGGTTAAACGCGTCCCGGTCAATTCACGCGACATGATTGATTCAATTTTTATTAGTGAATATTACACGTGTTGAGTGCAGGCGTGGGAATAGTGAGAATAGCAAGGATAAACAAGCTTAATGACAGAATTTCATAATTGATTCCGTTTACAAAATATTGAAGAGAATTCACGTATTTTGCAAATGTAATATCAAAGAAAAAAAAAGAGTAACAAACGTGGTTTTACTGATGCTTTATGACGTAACATATACAGCATACTGTATCGGAAAAATAAAAAGAAACGTGATACTCATCGTCGTTCTCTTTCTGATCCGTATATAGATCTAGTATCCTTGTTTGTGTTTCTTAAATCTTCAATAAAGTTAAATATTCAAATTATTTTTCGCACAGCGTTTGTAAGTGAATTTTCGATTCGGATTTTTCTGAGTAATGTGATTTTAAGTTTTTTCATTATTTGACTTGACATCCATGGCCTCTTATTAAATTAAATTTGAAGTCAACACCACCTTGACATAAAATATGGTTCTTATTTTTTCTTATACGGGCTAACTAAAAGGGAATACGTGAAAGTTCAAATTTTGAAACGCTCGGCAAAATCCTTATATTTTCCACATTATTTGAAGGGTTGTTTTGAAGTGCCTCGTAGATTGCCTTCTTTTTTTTTCGCCAACTTCTTTGATGAGGATGTCTCTCACGCATAAAAAACTACCCTCGTAATATATTACTTGAATTTTCTAAAACGATAGATTTTACAACCATTTCAGAAAACCCTAGCCATGAATACACATGGTGGAACGGGCCATCAAGGTAAATATATTTAACTCTTTTTCTTTCCATTTCTTCGGGCATTTTAAATTTTGTAATCCTTTTCATTAATAATTGAAAACGACGACGACAACAACGTCATTATCATCAGAGGAACATCATCATCCGGCGGAAAAAATCCTTGGACCGATAATACCAATACTTGGGATCCAGAAAGATATGAGGTTAAGAATGTAATTTCTAGGAGATGGGAAGACGTAAGTTTAACATTTAGAATCCTATCGACGAAGTTCCTTAGAAATAATTATTATAAAAAATATTTTAGGGTTAGGAGCTGTTTCAATACAGTGGAAGGGATATTCAAAGACGCGTGAGTTGCTAATGTCTCCTTGAATTTCCAACTGTCGATTGCGTAGACTTTCTATATTAAAACCATATGCTATGTTAGTCAGGAACCCCTAGAGAGCCTCGAAAACTGTCACAAACTCCTAAAAAGATTTTTTCTAAATGGCTTAAGAAACAGAACTCATTACTCAAATGAACGTTAACATTTACAAAAATTATGAAAACATCAGGAGTATCAGTCTGGAAAAAAGGATATTTTATGAAAGCTACGAAATAGGCCAAATGTTCAACGAGGACATGTATGATAAATTGATACTCAAAAAGTATAGCGAAAGGAAGGTCGAGTATAGTGGAAAAGATATTATTGCTGAGGATTATAAAGTTGAAGATGTGCCGTTGAAATTGGATAGAGATAAGAGATGAAATGTAGTATAAATATATTGCACATAGATAGTAAGAATAGAAAAGAATGCGTACATACAGTATATGATTCGCGTTTTCGTTGATGAAAATCAATTTTATTTGCCAAGCAGTTTTTTGAAAAATGGTTTTTTTTTAAAAAAATAACTTAATCACAACAATTTATTAAGATAACTCTGGCACAAAAAAAAACACATCCGCATTATGAAATAAAAGTACCTTTTCATAACAGTGTTACATGCCAACAATCTAACTGAGAATACTCAATTGAAAGTGGATTATACCTAAATTTTGTGATTTGTGATCTAAACATATCTAGAAAGTGAAACACAAATACTGCATTGATAAAATAGAGGAAAATAAATAAAGATACCTGGTCATTCATAAAATTATCAAATACAGTAGCAGCTTTTTTAAGTGAAATTGTTGCAATAAAACTATTGCTCATTATATTTACGAATCGATATATATATATATATATATATATATATTAAAAATTCTTATAAAATTCTACTAAAAATATATTTTTTAAAATTTCACATGCTATATAACCTAATATATTTTAAGAAATTTTTAGGATAATTGTAGTGCTAAAAATCGACTTGGATATACTTGCAAAATAATAATAATAATAATAATAATAATAATAATAATAACGCAATTTAGTTTTGAAGTTGACTAAATATCTATTATAATTTAAAAAATATTGATCATTTGTTAATTTATTATTTTAAAAACGTGTAAAACAAATATACTTCGAAAAAAAATTTTCTTATTGAAGCATAAGATCAAATTGATTTTTCTTTTTTTTAAATACAGTGATTTGAAAAAATTTGAAAAAATTTTTAAAAAATTATAATTTTTATTATAATTTAAATTTTACTTTATTAAAAAATTTTAAAAACTAAATAAAAAATTTTTAACTTTATAAAGTAATTTTTAATTAGAATTTTATATATTTATTTAATATTATTTTAAAAAAATTTTTAATTTTATATATAAATTTGAATTTAAATTGCAAGTTATATATTATTTTATGATTTTTTTAAAGCTGACTTATTCTATACCTTTTCTAATTCTTTATTGAAAGAAAGTATATTTAGAGACAATTGTAATAATTTTTTTTATATTGTTTGAGAATTTACAGATTATTAAAAAAAAATAGTATAGAAAACTGTTTATTTACATAACTAGATTCAAATTTAATTTAATTAGAATAAGAAAAATATATAATTATTTAATATAAACAATTCCTTCTAAAAACAAAGCAAGTGTTGAACCAGATATACTTAATCATATATTGTTGATATCTTTTTACATTAAGTTCAAGTATTATCTAGAGTATATTAATGTATCTACTAATTAATTGGTTACTATTTATATAAGAAACCTATTATGCTAAAAATTGTTCAAGATACCTAGCACTAATAAATACTAGGGATCCCTTATATTAGTTAGGAACTAGTCAGTATTAAAAAAAAATAATAATAAAAAGAAAAAATAATTAAAGTAAAAAAATAATAATTAAAGTACTTTACAAAAAACAATAAGTAAAAGAAATAAAGAGGTACTTAATAACAACTTTATAACCTAACTTTGTTTCTATATTATTTTCTGATAAATTATATATAAAACATATTTAAATATTTAAATTCATAAATATTGGTTTAAAAATACATTTGATGTAATAATATAAAATAATAAGAATGCATAAATCATAAAATAGCCATGAGTAAATTTAAATATTTAAGTTTTCATATTTAAAGTTTGATTTAATTTAAATAAATTTTTCTAAATTTAAAAAAACATTAAGAAAAATTTCAGTTTTTTTTTAAACCATTGCATATAGATTATTTGCTTTTATTACCATTTAAAAATTTTGTAATTTTTATAATCAATCATTTTTTGTTTTTATTTGCTATTTAATTTAAATATTTAAATTTCTTTTAAGATTTAAAATATTTTGACTCATTTAAATTATTCAATATATTTTTAACACCATAATATGATTGCATAATATATAAAATCATTTTTTATAAATGAATAATCAAATACAAGCCGAAAAAAAATTACATTTAAATATTTAATAAATATATCAATAAAAAACCGCAATCAAAGTTTTTGTTTGTATATTAGTTTTTAGTTAATAGATTCAATAATGAAAAAAATATAGTATCAAAAAATAAATGACGAGAATATTAAAAACTTACCGTTTACAACATACCATATGAATCATAATGTTTATTATGTGGCAGTCTTGCATTAATCAGGAGAGGGTCACAGTCCAAAAAACAAGGTCGATTAATAATAATAATAATAATAAGGTAGTAAGTTTGTATAGCAGATTAAATATTTATTTCTTGATTGTGTGATTAAATTAAATAAATTAACGTTGAATATTTTTGAAATCTATTTTATAACAATAGGCAAATAAAACATTATTGATTCTATAAAGATTAGATAATCGAAATTGTATGAAGTGAGCTGTAAATGGTTGCGATCTGGAATAAATCGGGAAACTATCTTTACTTTTATTGTTATTAAATCTATTAATGCTTAAATAGGCAACTACCACAAATGCCAAGCCATTAATTAACAAGAAGTAGAAAGATCAATTATCCTTTTTGATCTGAAGGAAAAATTCCTTAGATTCATCTAATACCATTGGCTTCCTTTCTAACAGTTCCTCGACAATCATCTTCCCGAACTGTTCAAAAATTATTTCAAAATCCATAGCATTTGGTTCAATCTCTTGTGAAGTCCAGTATGTGTTAAAAGAATGGAATATATAACCTTAATGTGAGAACCGATGTTAATAAATAATAGTAACATGTGTGCAAGGATAAAAGTATAGAATAACATAATTCTTACAGAAAAATTCTTGAAAAACATCCTTTGTGGATCCGTATTTGAATAAAAAGTATTGCATTTGTCTTGCTTCGAGAGTCTGAATAGAAAAGAACGTAAATTTGATTCCTGCAATGGCGAATGGATACCTGTGATTATAACATTTAAACAGCAAATTTAGCAGAAAATATTGATGAAATTAAAAGGAAATAAAAAGTAAATAATAACCATGAAATATTATTGCGACGGGAACATCTCAAAGAATTTTGGGCCGATTCCGGATAATGTTTGACATAATAAATCAAATTATCCAGACTCAAAATTCCTATATTGATTATAAACTTAATTTCGTTGTATAAAATACATGATGTAGAATTTTCACTACACTTGCCCATTCCACGGAAATCTGTCGAGGGATCCTTTCCTTGGAAGCCAATCTGACATTTTGTGAATTTGTATTATCAATAAAAGTTGTCGCAAGTTGTTATATAAAATCTTTTTTTTTTTTTTTTTTTTACCTTGATCCATTGATCGCTATAACGATCTTTGAGAGCTTCATCAGGCATTAATAGATCCCATAGCTTTCATAGCGATTTCAGTCAGAGTTTAACGTTTCAAATTGTCAAAATAATAATGCATTATCAACATACTTCGAGCAGCTTTTCTTCGTGAATCTTTTTACTCGTGTCGAATTTTGTTTTCGCATGTGCCCTAATTTCGCTTGCAAGACTATATGAATCTCGAATTTTTGCCAAGCAATGGTACAAAACTGAGGCAGCTGGACTTAAGTACAGAGATATTATGTAAATATACAGAACATATTTTTTAAATCCAAGTAGAAAAGAAATATATATTCCTTACGTTCCAATAGAGCTTTGTTCAGGGAAATTCTTCTTGTCGAGAATCGCCTGAGTGATTTCGTTAAGGTTGCTGTCCTTCGATTCTAAACCGTGCCTCTCTGCCTTTTATTACAAAAGTAAGCATCTATTAATCGAGAATGTATACAAAAACATCTGAAAATTAAAAAGATGAATAATAAATACCATTAATTTACTTGAATAAAGAATGGATCGATCTTTATTTGTTTAAAGAACAAGAAGGGGACAATAGAAAATGCATGTGAGATTTGTGACAGTTGTAATGAATCATTTTCTAAGCACAAGAAAAACTTTGATTCATACCGACACGATAAACGACTTCGATTGGTACATGAATATCTTTCCATACTGTTCTCCTTGTCAACAATGGAATGGAATCATCTGAATAATCGATCTCTTCCTTTGGATCGTCTTGTTCGTCCTGCAACCAATCATTGGCAAGTCCAACTTCATTTACAGCATTTATACAAATGCGAGATAGTTCGGATGTATTTGTATAGAATCGTAAAATAGCCTTCCAGCACTTGTAAGCAGCGAGTAAAAATCTCGAACGGTATACCTTTGTGAGGAAAAGAGTATTTAAGGATTCAACAATGTACATTATTTCAATTCGAAAAGTGAGAAAAGAGAGAATCGAGATATAATTTACACACTGGATCTTATACTCTATAAGGAAAGTAAGCCAGTAATCACATGTAAATACAGTATTTACAAACAACGACAGGTAACACAAATTGCCCGAATAGTCAATTGGAATAGGATCTATTCATAAGATCTTAAGTTTGAGCTTGGTCATAATCACCACTCCTTAGTCTGGTCGTTATGAAAAGCATGGCTTGATTTTCTTATGAAATAATGATAACAATCGAGCATTACTTTTCTTGGATAGTAAATATACGAAGAAATTTGATTAGAATTTAATAAATTGGAAAAACATGTGAAATAAGTATGCCTATATACCAAAACCTTTATAATTAAATTTTATTATTACGAATTTAAATTAATTTCTTTTGTAAAACCTTTTTCAACTAACGAATAAAAACATTAATTTGTTTGATGCATTTTAATTTATGTCATTTTTTATAAAAGATTTTAAATGTTAAAATAGATAATAAATTTAATTGAAATTTAAAAAATAAATAATTTTTTTGGTTTTATAAATATATTCATTAAAATTTTTTTTATTTTTTTTAATCCCTAAAAATTATTATATTATTTAAAAGTTTTTGAATTTATTAATTTTGAAATAGCATTTTTATAAATCAAACTATTAAATTTTTATATTAGATATCTATTAATTATCTTAATATATTTAAAAATTATTTCAATCATCAAATATTTTTATTTGCTTTATTAAAAATAATTAATAAAAAAAAATTAAAATTATTTTATTGTAATTTTTTCAATTGTATTATTTTTATAAATATTATAATTAAAATAATTTTTTTTTTTTTTTTAACCCGCAATCATGCCGCAATGGCGTGTCTTTATTAAAATATTGAGAAATACCTAAATATTTTACAGACTTTCACAAAGCGACTAACTCGTTATTGTACATTATTAGTTAAAGGACTACACTACTTAAAAAATATGAGGAGTCCACTAAGCTAG